AAAAATTATGATTGGTTGAATAAGGTTTTCACGGTTTTTACAAATTGAATGATTTTTATTTGAACGCTCCCCTATATATATATGGGCACGTTCAAATGAAAATCGTGCATTTCTAAGAAACCGTGTAAACCAATTTCAACCAATAAGAAAATTTCTTTTTTTTCTAATTAAATTTAATCAATAAGGGTATTTCGGTCATTTACAATATTTTCTATTAAATATTGAAGTTATTAATAAATTTTAATTAAGGAAACGTAATAAAGGAAATTATATAAATGGTAACATTTAAATATTTAATTATATTAAAATATTAAAAATTTGGATTTCATATATTGTCATGAGTTATAATCAGGAAACGTGTCTTGATGAAACAATTGAATTATAGAATGAAATCATCAAAACGTAGATGAACAAAAAAAAATCCACAAAATGAAACAGGTTTCATGAACGTGAAACCGGTTCATGTTGCAAAGAAATTAGGCGAACCTGTTGCAAAGAAATTAGGTGAACCGAAACATTTTTATGGTGAACCTGTTGCATTGATGGTGTAGTTAATTTTTTTTATGAGAAGAAAAATGAAACCGGTGCATTTTGAAAAAAATTATGAAAAGGAAAATAAAACAGGTTTCATGAACGTGAAACCGGTTCATGTTGCAAATAAATTAGGTGAACCAAAACATTTTTATGGTGAAACCGTTGTATTTATGGTGTAGTTGATCCATTTTGTTGATGAAAAGGAAAATGAAACCGATGCATTTTGAAAATAAATTATGAAAAAAAAATGAAACAAGTTTCATGAACGTGAAACCGGGTCTTGTTGCAAATAAATTATGTGAACCAAAACATTTTCATGGTGAAACCAATTTGGTTCATATAATGTAATTCAAAATTTAAAACGATTCACTCCATATAATTGAATATGGTGTGTTATATTCATTTTTTTTATATGTTTTATTGATGGATGTGATTTAAAGTTAAAAATAATATATTGCTTTAAAAAATGAAAATAGTGTCATTAATATCTAGAATAATGTTACCAAATGTTAAATGTTGTTTATCATTTTTGTCCTTACTGTTGAAATAAAATAAATTTTTAATATATATATATATATATATTTAATTTCCTAAAATAAAATAAATTAATCTTGGTCATTGATCAAGAAAATGAATGGATAAGATTGATTTACACAGTTTATACAAATGGAACATGTTTTTATTTAAACGCCTATATATATATATATATATATATCTATACTACATATATAACCATTTAAGACAAAGTCTTAAATACAACTCTTTTAGCACAAGTTACAATGGTTTTATGCATGATTTTCAAAAAACTCTTAATTACAACTC